CTTTCCTTTGCTGTCCTTGGAAAGGTTGTTCCTGGGAAATTCAGAGCTACCCAAATCATGCCAAACTCTATATACGGTATTTTCTGCAAACGTCCTGCACTCCATGCAAAGGATCATTCTGGACAGCAAAGCATGCATTCTGCATGAAGTTGTCTCTCCAAATTTTAGATGACAAAAAAAACACGCCAAACTTTATATGGTAGTTTCAGTTTCTGTGGGCTCAGACGTCTTATCCACAGATGTCTTATCCACAACGGTCTTATCCACAGCTGGGCCATGGAACATGCCCCCATGCTCCTGCCAGTAGTAGCAAGGGGACAGCAAAGCCCAAAACAAGACATAGCCTGCATGGACCTGGAAAGGAAGCAGCGGATCGTTGATGGGTTTGTAGAAGCAAAACCCGGCGATAACAGCTCCCAAATTTCCGCCAGCCCCAACCAGTGCAGACACCACGGCCAGCTGCTGCTTGTTCATAAAAGGCACAATCCCGTAGCTTGTGCCTTCTGCCATCTGGACAAAGAGAGAGAAACAAACCAGCACGGCCAAAGCAACATACCATGGCTGCGAGCTGTCCACCATACCAAAGCAGAAGAGGAATACCGCTTCAAAGAAAAGGGCCAAGAATTGCGCCCAAATGCGGCCTCGGAAACCAACGTGTTTGAAGAGGATGTCGCTGGTGATGCCTCCCAGGGACCTGGCAAACAGGTTCATGAGGCCAAAAGCTCCTGCCAAGGCTGATGCATCTGCCGCATCCATTTGGAAATAGGTCCTGAAATGGGTGGCCAGTTGGTTGTTCATGGCGAGTTCGGTGCCGAAACATGCACTGTATTGAAAAATCATCACAATGACGCGGATGTCTTTCAGCACCACGACATAGTCCCACAAAGATGGTTTCTGGGTCTTACCAGTCACAGACACATCGAAGCGCTTGGCCGTGGGTGTGTCCCAACACAAGAGTTTCATGGTGGCTGCGCAGATCAGGAAGAGGACAGCAGGAACGATCATGGCAACTCGCCAGGCAGTGTTTGCTGGCATGCCAGAACTCACCATTGGATTGAACAGCACTGAAATCATAAAGATCTGTGTAACACCGCCGCCCAAGTTCCCCCAGCCAGCTGCTGTGGCATTGGCCGTGCCAACCACGTTTGGGGAAAACATCAAAGAGCACCAGAACTGGTTGGTGACAAAGGTAGCTCCTGCAGGGTTTGTCCTCGAAAAATCATTCCATGCTGAAAACAAATCCAAAAAATAAGAATTATAGAAAATGGCCTACGGGTGCTGGAAAAACTGTTGTTTGGTAGTCGGTTGGCTGCTGGTGGTGGTGGTGGCTGGCGGCCGATGGGTGGGGACTGGTGACATGCTCACACTCCGAATATTGGAAAAGAACGTGAACAAGTGCAGTACTTAGCGTGAGCACGGAACAAATCAGAAAAGATTCTTGCTGGAACGAGCTCGCTGCACACATCGGATGCAATATCAAAAAAAATGATTCGCATCAAAAAAATCCGGCTGATCATCAAAAAAAATTGATTGGTAAAAAAAATATCTCTCAGATTGCTGACCTGTCCACGAGATCCACAGGTGGTCACCGTATCAAAAGAAAATTTGATTTGCATCAAAAAAACTTCATATGAATGCGCGCTCATGTGAGACCACAACTTGTCCCGAGAGGGCAGGTGGGATATCAAAGAGAGGGTGGGATTACACTGTGAAAACATACTACAGATATACATTCATGACTATATGCATATGTGTGGTAATGTATGTGCAAGTGTATTTAATGTATTTTAGGGTTTGGTTTAGGGTTTATTTAGGTTTGGTTTATGGTTTATTAAAGATTTGTTTAGGGTCTATTAGGGTTGGTTTAAAGTTTCTTTAGGGTTGGTTTAGGGTTTGCTTAGGGTTTCTTGAGGGTTTAATTAGGGATACAACATGTACATACAAAAAATTATGATTTTGTAGATGCATATGCGTATTCATGATCATATATAAGGTTTTTGAAGATGAAAAGTGTATGTATAAGCAACCAGAAATATGTGTATATATACATATATTATCTGATTGAACTAGTGTATTGAAAAGCGTGCAAGCTTAGATTTAAACAAAAAAGCGGGAGGGAGGATTGAGGGGAGGGCTGAAGAGGAGCAGTAGCGTCCTATTCAAGAAGCTAGGATCAGCTAAAGCGTCTTCTCAGGCTGCAAGCACTGTTTTCACTCTCAGGCCTATTAGCCAAGCCAGTGCTGCGCCTAGTCTACAGACTGTACCTCTATATCTCTCTTGAGCCTTGAAAGTTTATTCAAATTGTGCTCAGTACTCATGCTATATACCCCATAGGGCCCACAGAAAACAAAAACACAGGCGCAAATTCAAAAGCAATGAATTGAGCACTATGCCTTGTCGTACCCATTTGGGATAGACTTTCTCAGCCCATAAACTAGTCAATAAAGTTGGCTCAAAACGACGGAGTACGCAGAAGAAAAGCTGTACATTGTGAAGCAATGCAAACATCGTGAAATGTCCTAAGGACATGTCAAAAAGAAAACACGGCAGCTGCAAAATGAATTTTCGACAATGGTGCGCTATGCACAGTCGATACCTGGCAAAATGCCCAAATCGGTGAAATGTGTCTACTTCGAATTGCAAGATTCAGAAATTCAGATCACACGAAAAACGAAGACCAAATCACAAAATACCGGAATGAAACCGGGTCTCCAATGTTACTCATTCAAGTAACAAAGGACAGAAATCGAAGTTGAAGTGCTAGCAGCATGCTAACTACTCTCAGTTAAATGAAATGTTGAAAGCTGAAATGAAATGGTTGAAGTTGAAAATCATCAACATTTTCTCTTCTGAGGAAGAGTGTATGTTATCAGATGTGAAATCGGAGTGAATGAAATCTTTGTACACGGACTGTACAAAAATCGAAAATAGAAATGCATTACCCTCTATGAGTAGAGGCATATGCTTATCGGTTCTTGGGACGCCAGAAAAAGTGCTCGATGAGGAACCATGACCACCACCACCACGAGGATAACCAGGGTAGTTCTTCCATGAGTTTGGATCAAGCCAAAGACCATCATCATCATCGTCGTCATCATCATCTTGACTTCCACGACCTCTACGACGATTATCCCTCCGTGTTCCTTGCGACTTTGTTTCCTCTTCTTCTTGGCTTCTATTGTTCGATATTCACGTTTCTCTTGCCAAGTCATCATTGAGGGTTCAAGGTGTACAAGAAGAGGGTTGTGTCCTTTTCACCAATCAAGAAAAGATTGTGATCATTGTGTAAACACATCTCATTGACTTGAAAGGAGAATTCACCAACCTCATCTCTGTGGTCTTCATCCTGATAATCGTTGATGTCCTCAAAGAGTTCCCATCGACTGTGTCCCCATTCAAAAACAGACATCATGCAACAGTCACCAAGACCTTCTGTAGCCTTTGCAAGTTCATCAGTGCAGGTGTCAGTCTTGATGAAAGCAAGCTTGACTGCCAGTTCTGTCAAGTCATCAAATGATGCAGAAATAAAATGCTTGACCCTTACAGGGCATGCATCTTGGTCTCGGTAGTACCTTCTTCGATAAGAAGCAGCTACCTTGACCATCCTGTCAGTCCAGAACTGAAGCAATGACTGTTGGTAAGATGGTACGCATTTCTTGCCGATGCCTGGTGTTGCAAGATAGCAGGCTTTGTTGCCGTCACCAGCAAGTATGTCAACCTGATACCTCATGCACTCCCAAGTCTTAACAGCAATACCTTCACCGGTCATTGATGCAGAGGATGAAACACGATGCTGGCTAACATGATAGATGCACACTCGGCACATGTGCATCTGAGCTCTGGTGAGAGGTTCAACATCAGAAGTATCACGACTGACTGTTTCACCAAAAATGATCTCAAAGATAGCCCATGAAATATACCTTTCACGTGTGTCACCTTCATTGGCACTAGGCCCAGCGATCTGTTTGATTGATGCTCCGCGACCGAGGCGTGCAGCGCACATCAAATCTGTGTAGCCGTTGAAACAAGTGTGCCATCCACCTGATTGAAGATCTCCTCGAAAAGGGAAAAGTGAACCAGCCTCGCAGTTCAAGAAGATATGTGCACCGAGCTCCTTGATTGAATTGATAAATGAATTGTAAGGTTGAGGTCTCTCATTGAGATCCAAAGGCTCGTGATATTCATCAACGTTGTAATCAATGTAGCTCTTGAACTTCTCAAGCTGTGCTGGTAATGGACACTTTCTGACATTTGTTCCACACCATTGGCCAAGATTCCAGAACATACAAGAGAGTTACTTCGATTTTCTGAAAGGATGTTCATCATCTCTTTCCTCTGGATCAACAAAGCTAGCACCAAGGAATGAAGCCAAAACCTTGTGAATGCTGATGTATGGGATCTTCTCGTTAATTTCAATGTAATCTTGTAGAGCCTCATCAATCTTATCCCAATCTTCTCTCCACTTGGTCTCGGCTAGCTTGGAAAGACGCTGAACATTTCTCCTCTGTCTGAGTGACATTCGAGGATCAGAACAGTTGTAACGAGCAAGCTTCCTGATATCTTCCAACTCATCTTCAACCTTCAAATTCTTGTACAAATAGATGTAGGTCGCCATCATCTGATCTTCAGTAGGAGTAAACCATGCATCCTTGTGATCTTCATGAACTCTCCACTGCTTGTGCCAGAACATATGACGTTGAGGAGCATAAGCTGGAAAACCATGGTTGTAAAAACCGGCCCAGTGTTCACAATCTGGATATTCATGACACTCTTGCAACCTTCTGAGAATGGAATCCTCTTCATTGCCAGTAATGTCATGACCATGGTATGTGAGCTTTTTAGGCTCTGGTTTTGCCTTAGCGCTTGCCCCTCCTGCCTCTGCTGAGGCAGAGCTTGTAGGTGCAGATGGTACCTCTCCTGAGGGAGAGCTTCCATGTTGGTCAGCCTTCTTTTTCTCTTCATCTTGAACCTTCTGGCTGACATGCTCAGGTGGTGGAATATCAGGTTCTTGAAGAAACGTTGACGTGTGGTAACATTGCACTCAGTAATCCACTTGTAATGTCGATCAAAAAGTCATCATCTCCCTCCAATTGGAAAACTTGACGATTCTCCACATTTTCAGGTAACTCCTTGAATTCCTCATCAGCAGGAGCTTTTGGGTCGTCTCCTGGTCGTGGCAAGTGAGGTTTTGCGTCAATATCGAAGTGATGGATCTTCACATGAGCATTTTCTGACAATACTTGCTCACAGGCAAGCTTCAAGTCGAAGTAGAGCTCGAAGTTGATTTGATCACCAGTAAGCCGAGTATACAAAATTCATGAAGTCTGGAAAAGTCATGTCTTGTACAACTTCCATGAATAGTCCAAGACTGAAAGGATAGATATCATCAGGTGTTTGAGGAAGAGGACGAGATCCATCATCAACAGCACGACCTGTGATAAAAACCAAACGTCTCAACAGTGCCACATGATTTTCTCGAAGATGACTGATCATAAATTGACCCCAACAATCTTCATTGTTGTGATAGACATAGATGTCCATCGGTTCTTCCTCTTCAGCTTGATCTTGTTGATCAAGTTGACCTGGTACTACCTCTCCTGAGGGAGAGCATGCACCTTCTGCAGGAGGAGTTGCAGGTCCTGAAGTCTTGTCATCTGGCACTCCAGGCTCCTCCTTTCTGATCTTGACTGAAACCTTAGGATACAAGATCGGGTCTGGAACTTCTTCACGATTAGGTTCTTCTTCATCCTTCTGTTGACTGGATTCCTCAGGCTCTTCTTCAACCTTGAGTACATCCAACATTGCTTCCATCGTTTCATCAGCAGGTTCCTCTTCAACTGGAACTCCTTTAAATTCATCTCCTGCTGGTTCTTCTTCGACTGGAACATCTTCAGTCTCTTCCTCTTGCATATGCTCGTCTTCATTGTATTCAGGTAATTCATCATCTTGAAGACGCTCTTTTGGAACATGCTTGATCTCACCATGATCTTGAATCCAAGCATAACCATCAAGCTTTGTGGATGAATGCAAGGGAGTGTCGGCACCAATTTCCTTTGCCTTGGTTCTAGCCCGTGCCAATTGATGGAAGGCCTCATGGACAAAGAATTAATTGTAAGCGTGTTCACAGAAGTACCGATATGACCTTTGAGTCATCTCCTTTCGACTGTCAACAAATTGAGTGAGTTTGTCATAGGCATATTGAACATAAGGACAAAAACTTTTTTCGACTTTGTCTTGGTAGAGCTGCAAGGCCATGACCATGAGTTTCGTGCTGAAACTCAAATGATCTTCAGGACAAGGTTGTACAGTGTACTCTGTGGCAGGCACTTCAACGTTTAGAATAGTCATATCACCTGCCCTTGTGTCGAGTTCAAGATACACCTATTCGTGACTGGATCTTCAAAGGTCTTGCAGAAATCTATCCATAACTTGTCGTTCTTCCTGATGAATTTGTCCCAATGACATTGATAGAAATCGAAGACTTCAGATTGGTGCTGTAGATCTTCCAGTTCTCACTCCACTGATCCTGATCGATTGTACCTCTGTTCTCAAAGTCTCTAGGTGGATGTTCTCCTCTGAGCCAGTCTGTACACTTTTCCAGGAATGTGGCGCAAGCATCATAACGTCCATCTCTCATCAACTTTGATCTATACCTGCAACATTCCCATGCACGAGTAAAAAGGTAACAAACATGACCTGTCCAAGGAAGTCGTTCCCATTCAACTCTGGAGATCCCCTGTCTTCTGAGAGCTATTCTCTGATTGGTCAAAAGATAGTTCCACTCTCTTAAGATGATCACCTTCTCACCTACCTTGTTCCTGTCGATACTGCCATACTCGAGTCTGGCACAGAACACTCCAGTGTGGTAGAGCATCCATGGATAGGTAGCAGAAAAACTTCCAGTTGCATGATCTGTGAGATATTCATCTTCTGCTGGTCCATGATCTCGCTCCCAATCTGCAACTACTTGAGGATCCATAGTGTCATCTTCCGGAATTCTGCTTGGATCCTCTTCTGGTTCTGCCTGAGGTACCTCTGCTGAGGCAGGGCCTCCTCCAGGTTCACATCCTGCATACCAGGGTTGCGAGGTGTCATCCCTTTGAGCATCAGCTGCATCTGCTGATGTGTCTTCTTGAGGTTCCACCACTGAGGTGGAGCCTCCTCCAGGTTCCTCCACTGAGTGGAGCCTCCTGCTCTGAGTCCATGAAGTGACTCATCTTCAGCCTTGAATGCTGATCTGCTGGCCATGGGCAATCCAAACCCTTGGCCATAATTGGAAGGAGCTGATTGGCCCATGTACTGCCTTGCAGTAGTTCTGATGTGATCGGGGACTTCACCTCCAGCGTTGCACATGTTCGAACGTGGGGCCACTCATCCAGCAACCACCAGTGACTGATGCTGGGAGACTGTGGCCACGACCAATGTGTTCTGCATTGAGAGCAATTGTAGGAAGCTGATCCACTCTTTTTAGAAAACGAGCTGGTACATCTTACATCGACAAAATAACACCATTCTTGGTCAAGAAGAGATTGTTGAAATCCATGTAGCTCAAATTCAACACAAAAAATCCAGGATTTCGGTATTCTTGTGGAACATGAGTACCAGGAGCCATCTTGATGTAACCTGGTGAATTGTCATTGTGATACATGAAGTGAACACAATCACGACCACGATTACCTTTTCCTTTTCCTTTGTTTCGAGCATCCTTCTTGAGACCATATTTGGATATTGATTGTATGTTCGAGCTGTCGGTGACGTGGAAGACCCAACCTAAAATCTGAGCTTCATTTCTTGTCAGTGTGTGGACGAGGCAAATGGGCCACCTATCTCGTTGGAATGGCCTTGGATACAACCAATCCTCAACTGGAAAGGCCCATGATCTGCGTTGTTGTAAGCCTTCCACTCATCATTGAGATATTGAGTAATCTTGACTTGTCATTGGCATACAAAAATGCTGCAAATTGTTTGCCAGTGATGTTGTTGGTGCCCATAGGAGATACCTGCTTCCATTCAAGCCTTTTGAAGAGTTCAAAAATCTCCATGGTTCCTCTGCTGTCAAAGAGAGTAGAGTCCTTCTCATGTCTCAAAATCCTTGACATCTCTTTGGACATGGGGAAAAAGAACTTGTCCTTCCATTTCATCAACTGTTGATGAGCGATGTTAGTCTTTTCCTGAAAGCATTCATCTTCCTCTACCGATGTCACAAAGCACAACATGCATCGAAGAAAATCTCAGCAGCACTTCAGAGGTTCGAATACTCACTATTTCGGCCACCAAACTCTAAGACCCATGAGATCACATCACCAATGACCTTCAGGTTGAACTCATCATCATGTCCCTGATTGTAAAAGATATTGTGTAATCTCCTAGCAACTCTCAAGGTGAAAGATCTTTGACATGCATACCAAGTAGTCTGTTTTCGATAATCAGTACAGTACTTCATAATGTCTTCATTGCAAAGACTCCATGGTTTTCGTTCTGCATTGCGAAGACTCCATGGTTTTCGTTCTGGTTTTGGTGGTGCTGCCTGAAATGGACGATAGTATCCTCCCAGTTCCTCTCCTGAGAGAAAGCCTCTGGCTGTTGATGACTCTGCTGGTCTCCCTACTCGTTTGAGCCACAGGCACAAATTCAAAAAATAGTCGTTCATTCCTCAGAGAGTCACCTAACAAGAATACATCATGTCTGAAATCAACATGACTGCAAACTGTTGGCAACCATGACCTGAGGTAAGCCTTGTGTTCAAGTAATGATCTGAATTGTGGATGTGCATCAACTTCCTTGAGGATACCTTGTCGAACAGCATCAATAAGATTCTGTGGGTTGGCAGACTTCTTGGTTTAACAATCAGCTAAACACCACTGAGTTCTTATATGTGATAAATCAGCAATGGATCCTGAACAAGCTTCCTTTCTTAACAGTTGAATCATGTGAATGGTTTCTTGTTGTTCGGGAACGTGAGTGGTACTAGCAATAGTAACCAAATTATTGGCATCAGTTCTCATGTGAATCTCACTTGAAAGTCCAGTGATATCTTTGATAAGTCCTCTCAACATTTGACAAGTACCAAAACACTTCATCAAAGCATAAAGTTCAGCAACAGTGGTACTCAAAGTCGTTCTCTTGATCTTAGCGGACTCAAAGAAAATCAAAGAACCTCTGGTGTTTTTGGACGTCTCTTTTCTTGGTTCAGCCATAAAAATAACCATAGCACGTTGAGATGATTTATCACTGTTGTTTCTGAATGCAGCATCAGGCATAGCAACTAACCGAGGGTCACCTTAAATTAGCCAGAACATGAGTTCCATAGGATTTTGTTCAATGCCTTACAATCACCTATGGTTGGAGCAGCTGCTGCAGAAGCACAACGTGAAAACTGATAACATGCCTGGAACTGTGTTCTTGACTGCAACCAACTGATACTACCAAGAAGAGATTGATACGCAGTGTGTAAATCCTTGTCACACTTGTCTTCATCCTTCCAACCTTTAGGAACCACAACTTCAGTCAATTCACTGACACACAAGGATTGTTCAACAGTGATGTGAGATTTCTTCTTAGTCTTCTCATCAATCACCCACTTGACACGCTGACCAGTGAACATCAAGTCATTAATGTCTTCATGACCAATCTTGAATTGTGACCTGATAACTCTTTTGAACTTCTTCAGCAACTCTGGAGTGCCAGCAATAAACAAGTCATCAACATGAAGACAACACATGCCAATCGGTTTTCGACCCTTGGCATTACTGCCATTCACTGGATCCATGAAATGTTCCAAGAGTTCTTCAACAATATCAGGTGTCAACTGTGGTGTTGTGGCAAGGTACGTACGCTCTGAAGGTAAGAAGACTGAAACAAGAACTTCAGCTTCTTGACAATTGAAGTCCTCAAGTGGACCTTCTTTCGATCATAATAAGGATCAGGAGTCCTGAGTGATTGAGCACGATAAGCAACTTGTGCATGACCATTCTCAAAAGGATACCAACCAGGTTTATGCCCGACAGATTCCAAGAACTTCAACATGTCAGCATCAACAACTGGTGTTCATGCACAATCTTCAACTTTCTTCTCCTTGTGGTTCTTCCTCTGTTTCCAGGTTTGGGGTTGTTGATAACAAGCTGAAAACAATCTCTTTCTTCAACCATAAGAGACTTATGAACTTCCTCAGCTATGTCGGAGGATTCATCCCGCGCTACCTCGCCTGAGGGCGAGCCTGCGCCATAGTAGGATACTTGTGCTGGTTCTGTTGCCTCAGAGTCGGAAAAGTGAACTTGTTTTGGTTCCTTGAAAGCACCATCATAGCACACATATGTGCATCTGTCAGCTCTTGTTGGTTGAATGCCAAGTGAAATCAGAAATTTGCCAAGACGGTTCCACCACCGACGTGGTGCGTCCGCAACACCGTAAACTGAACGAGTGCATAAACCAACCAAGTAAGGGGGCAAACCGATGTCAGTAGGCAACTGAACATGGATAACGCAGCGGTCTAAGTCGTATGTTTCCCCCTGAAGGAAGGCAGTTTTCAAGTCCAGATGGAGTAAATCCCAGAACATTGAAGCGGCATGCTGAGATGCCACACGGAATCCATACCTGGTAGCCGTGGGACTGCCTGTTTGTAAGTCATACTTTTGAGCATCTTGAAATCCACGACAAGCCCATCTAGCCTTGAACTTCTTAAACTGGCCATCCTTATCAACCTTGATGGTTAGCACCCATCTTCCAGTGACATAGTTATCAATCTTACGACGTCTCTTGTCACAGAATGTCATGGCAGTGAAATCCAGAAAACTTCTGAATTCTTCAAGCTTGGCTTGTTTGATCTCCTTGGCATACTTTCTCAAAACTTCTTGACTGATCACTGATTCAGCCTTTGGCTGTTTCTTAACATTCTTGGCCAAATACTGTTCAAACTGTTTGAAACCAGTAACATCATATGAACCAAAATCAGGAGCAGCATGAAGCTTGGGATTCAATGGAACAAAAACAGTACCATCAACATCAACAAAATGAGAACTGTCGGAATTGTAAGGTTCAGTGTCAGCATCTTCTTTTTGAAGTTGAGATATTTCTTCTTCAGTCAACACAGGAGTATCATCAGTATGATAAGATAACTTCATCCTCAGTTTCCTGTGCTGGTTGTGATGGTTGTTGTTCTTGCTGCGCATAGTCGCCTGGCACAAAGGACGTAGGCGTCGTCGTCGGCAATGGAATCGAGGTATCATTCGAACTGGAGGCTTGAGGGTCATGTGAAAGTCCTTCATCTTCTTGATAGACATCATCCTTCTTCATAGGAACTGAAACTGGTTGAACGTGACCTGGTAACTGTACCTTTGGCCTCTTGATGATAACCTTGGCCTTTGCCTTTGGCAAAGCATCAGAAGAATCAACAGCAAATTCTCTTTGCTTCCTTTGGACTCTGAGGTTCTGAAATTGGATCATCTCCTGGTGAAGGACCATCATCCCCAGGATCAGCAATCTGTTCAATTGGCATATCAGGATTTGAGAACGGGGTTGATGAAGAACTTGAATCAATAGGAACTGTTTCCCCCGAGTCCTGAATTACTCCTGATATGTCCATGTCATCTCCTGGTGGTGGTCCAGAATCATCTGGGATGAAATATTCTTCATCATTATCAGCATCATCTGGATCTGGTCCAGTTGGATAGTCAGGCTGATTGTCATCATCCAGAGGGATCATCTGGTTCATCAGGTATAGGAACATCAGCACCATCATCTGGTTCAACAGGAGGAACACCACCATGCTGATCGGGATGCATTGGATCAGCGTCATCTGGTGAATCATTTGATGTTGGAGGATGTTCAACTCTCCTCTTGATTGCACCAGTAGTCTCAACTGAATAGACGATCATGCTCCAATCATGAATGTTGAATTGTCTGTGATGTGGATACAACTGTGACACAAACATGAGGTAAACACGATCATAATCACCAGGTTTCCAAATAAGCAAAACAGCACCTTCAGGATGTTGGAACAAAGGATTCACACGTCCATAAGTTCCTCAAAAAACTCTGCATACTTCAAAGTACATTTGAGGCAATGTCTTCTGTCTGATATCCTTCAACCCAGGGATCAGTTCAATGATCCTGGGATCAGTTGATTCTCTGACACTAGCCTCTGTACTTCTTGGTAACTGATCAATCTTTCTCAATGTTTGGATAGGCAACTGAGTGGTGAACTTCTGTGGAAGTATGTGCATCAAGAGCACAGGAACTGAAGTCTCAACATGATGCAAGTCTTGCAACAAGCGTGAACACTCCGCGCCACGATCCAACAACATTGAAGCACCACAGAGTGCTCCATCATCAAAATCACTCAACAAATCTTCGACAAGAAAGTTCTGTCTCATGTCCTTCCGTGGAACAAGCTGTGTGAAGTGTGCGACAAATGAACACAAACGTGATGGCAATGTCTTCCATTGTGGATCATTCCAAAGTTTCCCTTCATGAGTGAAGGCATACCTTGGTTCAAACAAGCCAAAATCATCTTCATAGTTATAGAACATAAACAATGACTTGATAGCCATGTTGCATCGACAATTATTGGTCATGTCAAAGTTGTGTTGAGCAAGCACGTACTTGATCCTATCGTTCTCAAGTTTCTTCTGTTTCAAGAACTTGGCAATTCCTGAGTCAGGAGGTGCAATCACAATAAATCCTTTTCCTCGATCAGTTTGCCATTTCATCACTTCAAGGCAAAACTTGTATATCGAGTGTTTCCATGAATTTAAAGGATTTGTGATCAACACATATTCAGGATCAAGTGTTTCAAGTTGTTTCCACACCTCATACTGTTTCGTCTTACTGTTGAAACTGAACTCATGTTTGTGATCAATCGGTTCTCCAACCTTCATGTTCATTCTGGACATATGCCAACTAAGGCCAGTGTTGCTGGTCAGTAGTTCAACTACATCACACTTGCCAGACTGACAGAACCAATGACATTGTTCACCAAGATAAGCCTCAGCAAAAGAGGCATTCATTTCTGGTTCATAGTCATCTTCATCTTGTAAAGCAAGTGGAGCAGGATCTGGATTGTCAAGTCCAGGAACAGCAACATCATGCCATTCAACATGATCACGTCTGACCTTCGATTGATTGACACGCCTGACAGCATTGTCTACTTGAATGTTGACCATAGCACCTTCCTGTGAGATCACAGTACCTCTGATCCATCTTTCCTTCCTTAATGCCT